CCCCAAAACCCCAAAACCCCAAAACCCCAAAACCCCAAAACCCCAGGAGTCAAAAAATTATTGAATCGATTTTAAATTTAATATGGAAGACGTGGTCATGGAACCTGATCAAAATGGTCAGACTAAAGACAACAGAGAAAATGGAACCTCTGTAAAGACTATTACTGAAGCCCAATCAAAAGATGAAGAAGCTGGTGCTTCAGAATCTAGCATGAGTTCTAGTGATTTCTCCTTGAGTGACGAAGAAACACCTGAGGAAAACAAAGCATTTAAGGAAAGTAGGCTAGAACTAATTAAAAAGTATGGACTTGATAAGTACAAAAAGTACATTCCGAAAGACAACAAAATGACTGCTAGAGTGAAATACTACACCTTTGATATCAAGAGAAAACATAGAGAAGAACTTCCGCTTAGAGGATGGCAAAAACTTAAACTCTACAAAAATGATTCATTCCTTGATGATTGGATTAACGAGCCGGATGAAACATCGACTATCAATCTTGATAGAATCAATGTGGACGATGTTACTGTGGAAGAGTTCATGGAAAAATATGAAAAACCAGGAATCCCAGTCATTATTAATGGATGTGCAGAGAATTGGGATGCAATGTCAAAATGGAACTTTGCAGATCTTGTCAAGAAATACAAGAAATGTAAGCTCAAGGTCGGAGAAGACGACGAGGGTTACCCTCTCAAGTTAAAGCTGAAGTACTTCATTGAGTACATGCTGTACAATAAGGATGATAGCCCACTCTATCTTTTCCAATCAAGTATTGAAAATAGAAAGAGGATAAAGGAAATCGTCAAGGATTATGAGGTTCCAAAGTATTTCCAAGATGATTACTTGAAAATCTTAGGTTCTGACACGAGGCCACCTTACAGATGGTTATTAATTGGACCTCGTAGATCTGGCACAACAATTCACTGTGACCCATTGAGTACTTCAGCTTGGAACACAAGTATTGTTGGGCATAAATAAATGGATTTTGTTCCCTCCTTCTTACGAGAAAGAAGTTGTAAAAGGAAAGAAGTATAAAGAAAAGGGAGCAGATGATGAAGCAATCCATTACTTCAAATATATCTATCCTCAAATCTTGGAGAATGAGAACATCGAAAAGCGATATGAGTTCGTTCAGCGACCTGGAGAAACCGTCTTTGTTCCAGGAAGATGGTGGCACTGAGTTCTGAACCTCGATGAAACAATTGCGATCACTCAGAATTACTGTAACAGAGGTAACTTTGATAGAGTCTGGAGAGACGCAAGAAAAGCAAGAAAGAAAATGGCAGTGAGATGGATTAGAAAAATGAAAGAGATAGATTATGATTTGTATAAGAGAGCCATTGATATCAACAAAGATGATAAATTCTTGATGTACGATATTGCTAAGATGAAAGATGTAGAATGGCCTTACTCTGAATCTTCATCCAGTTCCTCCTCTTCTACCTCTTTATCAGACTATGATTTCGAGTACTCAGACATAGACATTGACAATATTGAGTATAACAAGGAAGATATCAAAGAAAAGGAGGTTAAACTTGAGTAGCCATATTGAAGGATAAGAAATAACTTATTGTCACCCAAAAGTCAAAATTCAATTTAAAATCCAAATTAAGGGGTTTTGGGGTTTTGGGGTTTTGGGGTTTTGGGG